GCTGGTGCATTGTGGGATATGTTTGCTGTCAGAATGCATGATGGGACACAGAAGACTAAACTGTCACAGCAGTCAAATGGAGAGAATGTCACTTTATCCAGAGATGAAACATTACTCTTACTAAAATGTGAAATTCAGACAGAAGTTAAGAAAATCAGCTTATGAAAGATGAAACTATAAATAAAATTGTAAAAACCAAAACGACATGCAGTCGGTCGCTGCCAGGAGCTTTTCTGGAATCACACGATCGTCCTCAGCATATGGAGGTCCCCGGTTTGAGTAGTTCAAACTTCCTTTTACTTTCTGAGCTCTTTGCAGATCACTTTGTGATAGCACACGTTTGAGTTTTTAGGGCTAATTTAGTTGTTTTTTTTTTTTTGAGTAATTATACAGTACCTGTTTTTAAAGGACCAGTCCACTGTTTGAGCTCTAACAGTAGAAAGACACTGAGGAGCCACCGTGGGAACAGGCATGTAAATAAAATGTAAAAACAGCCAAATGGTCCTTTAACTGCTGAATTATTAAAAATACCATTTTATTTTGTAACCACTGAAAAAATCCCACACTCAGAGAAACACACAAATGCACTCTATTCCTTTATCCTCTTCCTATTCTTGGCCATCATCTTCTAACTCCTCGTTTCCTTTTCCTCCTCCTCCTCCTCCTTATATTAGCAGAATGAGCAGCTGATATCAAGTTATTAAAGTTTTACTGGCATCAGAAATGGGTCGCTAATACTCTCACGTCAGGGTGCTGCAGTGCGCGTTTAGTGTTTCCTGCAGAGAGCAGGACATCAGAATGATGTTGGTGTGTGTTATTGTACGACACTGTGGCGTTGTGTCGGGTGTTCTGGGTATAAATACACCACATGTGAAACTGTAATGACCCATCTTCATGAGCATAATTGAAGATGTTAACCTGCCTCTTCATCCCAGATGAGGTTGCCTCCTCTTCCTCCTTTTATTATTTTTCTTCCCTCTGCATTTCTCTTCTTTTTCCACCGGCTCTTTTCCTGTTCTCCCTCTTCATCATTTTATCTTCTATTTCTTTTCATATTTTCTTTCTTAGTTCTTCCTCTTTTTTCCTGATATAGTTTGTATTTTTCCTGGTTCTCCTCTTCTTCATCTTTCTGCCTCGACCGGTTGGGGTGAGTGGATAGAGGAGAGACAAAAGAAGAAAAGCAACAAGACAACAAACAATCAAACACTGATCAGGTTGATGTGGCTGGTGACTGCTCATCAGAGACGTAGAGCTCCAGGGCCAGGGCAACCTGCAGAAAGGTACAGGGAGAGAGAGAGGACACACTACGGGAGAGAGGAGACACAAAGTTAGTAATGTGTAATGGTGGCATATAGAAGCATAGGGAGAGAGGAAAGGAGAGGGGAGGAGAGAAACTCAGAGCATCATGGGGCCCCCCAGCAGCCTAGGCCTATAGCAGCATAACTAAGGGAAGGCTCAGGGTCACCTGATCCACTCTAATTATAAGCTTTATCAAAAAGGAACGTCTTAAGTCTAATCTTAAAGGTAGAGAGGGTGTCCGCCTCCTGAACTGAGACTGGGAGTTGGTTCCATAGGAGAGGAGCTTGATATTTAAAGGCTCTGCCTCCCATTCTACTTCTGTGGACTCTAGGAACCACAAGTAAACCTGCACATGTGAAAGGCTATGTGCAGTTTTCATTGAGGGTTGGATTTATTTCATTTTCATTTAAAAAAAAAAGATGTATACCAAATTAGGCCAAACTAATGTATAAAATAAGAAATAAAACGGAAACAGTTTGTCAAACTGCTGATCCAAGGTCAGTTTAAAGTCAGTGTCCCAACATGCATCACAAAACACCAGTTTATTTTGACCAGTCTGTCTGCACGTCCAGTTTAAAGGTTAAAATTATGTTTTACCAAGTTGACCTAACATTTATTTTAGGCTGCATTCATGTCAAAAGGGAGTTCAAAGTTTGAAGCTATGTTCATGCCTACATTTAAACTACAACTGAGAAATTTGGATTTTCTGAATATTTTCAGACCCTTTCAACTGTTCCACATTTTAATATTTTTGACTTTTTTCCTCATCAGTCTACACACAATACTCCACAATGACCAAGCAGCAACAGGCTTTTGGAGTGTTTTGAGAATTTATTCAAAATAAAACGTTCAAATATCCCATTTACATCAGTATTCAGACCCTTCACTTAGCACTTGGTTAAAGCACCTTTGGCAGCAACGACAGCCTCAAGTCTCCTTGAGAATGAAGCTACAAACTTGGCACCTTTCTTCTGGAATTTTCTTCCATTCTTCTTGGCAGAATCGTTCCAGGTCACCCAGGTTGGATGGGGGGTGTCGGTGCTCTGCCATGTTCAGGTCTCTCCAGAGATGCTCTGTTGGGTTCAGGTCTGGACTCTGGCTGGGCCACTCCTGGACTTAGACAGAGTTTTCTTGAAGCCAGTCCTGCGTTTTCTTGGCCATATGCTTCAGGTCTTGTTGAAATGTAAATCTTTGGCCCAGCCTGAGGGCTCTGGAGAGGGTTTTCATTCAGGATTCTGTTTTCACTTTGTCAATGTGGAGTATTGTGTGTAGACTGAGTAAAAAGAAACTGAAACCATTTTAATGAGTCTGAATTGTAACAAAATGTGGAAAACACTTCCTGAGTCGGTGTATCTGACTGATATTCCATGTTTAGACTGATGTGAGGCATGTGTGTCTTTAGCATTGAGTTTAACACAAAATATTCTAAATATGGAAAATTTAATACATTATCTTTAACCTTCTGCAGTTAGAACATCTTACCCCTCATTTCCACCAGATGCCTCTGTGTTGTGTTCCATCTGCGACATGGTTTCGATCTGTTCTCTCTGCGGCTTCATCCCCCATGAGGGCGTCTGGAGCTGGTCATTGTGGTGGTTTTATGTTTGGGGTATTTTTCTTGATTTTTGAGCTTTTACAGAAAGTAGGATGTATAGTTAAATTGTCTGTTTAATTGTATTTGTACTTATTTCAACGCAGCCACATCCAGTGGAAATGAGGGGTTAATTTGTCCAAAGATGTGAACACTCAAATTAGTTTTCCCTACTCATGAATACAGCATTAGCAAACGCTTTGAATTTCAGGTCAAAGCTAACAGTAGCTTCTGCTAGCTACATTAGCTAGTGTTCTAAAGACTGTTTGTCAGCACCTGATTGTCTCGACTGCATCGGGACCTTCAGAATGTCAGTATCTGCTCCCTGTGAACCGCTGTGCTAATGTTTGCTAGCAACCTAGCTAACATTAACTCATTATATATAAATTGTATGCTGGTGTGTCAAATTGTTTGATCGGTAATGAGCTAGCACTTCTTAGCTTACAAGCTGATGATCATTTAACCAACAGTTAAATAATAGTAGCTTGCTAGCTTTAAAGAAATTAAGAATAATACAAATACAATAACTAGTTTTGGTTGAAAACTGAATACAGTATATGGTTAAGTATTTTAAACTGTTTCATGTAATTATTTAGTTTAAAGCTATTATTCATTCTCTACAGACCTTTTTTTTAGTAATGAACTGTTAGCTACAGCTACGCTAATGTAATAGCCATTTTAGCCTTTGTGTTAATTAATTATTTCCAGCATATCATTGCTAATGAACCAGCAGTTGTTAGCTGTTTAGCTTATCTGATAAGAATTATGTTCCATTGGCTTATATTAGCTAGGAGACGGCTAAAATGAATGATTAGTACTTTTGGTCCTGAGTATATTTACTGTTGTAGTCCATGCCCTGCAGTTCCATGGGGTCATGCAGTGTATAGGGCACGGAGAGCACAGAAAAAGGAAGTTCTGGTACATCATAAATTGCATCTGACGATCATTATCTGGGAGAGAGGAACAATCAGGTGCAACAAACCGTTGGCACTCTGGCTAGCCAGTTGGCTTGTGTTTTACTATCTGTGCTAAATCAGTAATTGAACGGTGCTGATTACATGCTAGCATTAGCTAAACATGGAATGAAGCAAATGAAAAGATATTTCAAACAGGCATCAAAGCTGAGGAACCTCAAACTGAAGACTGTAACCAGAAGAGGTTCCGTTTGAGGAGTGCTTGTTTTATTAACAGCTGGATGTTCAAAGTTGAATGTCATTTGTGGTGTGATGTTCAGGTGACTGTAATCCCACTTCCTCACGCTTGACCCGCAGGTGCTCACTCACGCTGAGGTCAGTGACCACTGACACCCAGTCAGATGCTTTAGTTCACCTGAACTGTTTTCCTTCAGTTCCTCTGATGGACAATTGGTTTGTTTCACTTCCTGTTGGGAATAAAACTAAAAAACTACAGAGACTTTAAAACTCTACTAATGATTTTATTTTCTTAACTTGTACACTGATGTATATTTTGAAAAACAAATAAAATATTTTAAACGTAGCTCAGTCTCTGTTTTGGATCTTACAGGTTATCTAAATAATAGCCTCACCACAGGAAGGTCCCAGTGTGTGCTGGCCCCCCGATCTCAGGTAAGACATTTTTGATAACGAGGTGAGCAAATAAATGTCCATGACAGCGTCCGGATTATAGCAGCCTTTAATCAGTCAGTGATGTCACTCAGGTGAACCCATGTGTTCCAGCAGGTTCATGGTGAGCTGTTGGTCTGGTATCTTACTGTTCAGAAACAGCAAATCCATCACTTTATCAACAGTTTCATTTTATTTTGGAGAGTTCCACGCCTTAAAAAAAAAAAGCAATACAATTTTTACTGTTAATTTTTTGTGCAAAATCTAAATTTAGTCATTTGAACTTGGAGTTTGTTCCTGCAGCAGCTCTCGGGTTTGTTACCTGATTGGCTGCTGATTCAGTGACATCAATAGCATTGATGAAAGGTGTGATCAGTTTGAAAAACACATAATTATTACATTGTTCATCACTGGTAATGAAGCTGCTTCATATTTCACTGCTGATGTGAGCACTTGTGTTTCTGTGCTCATCTAATAGTAATGTTGTGAGGACATTTCTACCCTGTGAGGACATTTTGTCTGGTCCTTACACCTTTAAAAGGGCTGTTTGAGGGTTCAGACCAGGTTTTAGGGTTCAGGTTGGGGGTACAGTAAGGCTAGGGAATGTACAGTATTGTTGATTAAGGTCTTCACAGGGGGCGACTGTGGATCAGTGGGTAGGACGGTCATCTCCCAGTTGGAGGTTCGAATCTCGGTGCCTGCAGTCCACATGTCGAAGTGTCCTTGGGCAAGACACTGAACCCCAAAGTTGCCCCTGATGGTTAGAGCCATCGGTTGAGTTGGCGCCGCAGATGGCTGCCATCGGTTCTGTACCGGAAACAAATTCCTTGTGTGTAACATAGTTGCCCAATAAAGGTGATTATCCTTATCCACAAAGATAGGAAGACTGATAGTGTCCAGTTTGGTAAAAGTTGATAATGATCAGATGGGTCTACGTTATAATTAATAATGAATGTAAAATTTTTGTCATTGTCTTCCGCGGCGGTTCTGTCACATCCCCCCTCCCCAGGTGATGTCACCTGTCAATCATCCACCCACTAATCAGATGCTGTTTCTGCCTTTGTTCTTTCAGTTCTGTTGGGAACCTCTAGGTTTGTTTTGTCGTTTTAGGAAAGATGTGCAAAGAACCACAAACACTGGACAAAAAAAAGCTGCTGCTGGTTAAAAATGTCTTCTGTCACAGAACGTTTCAGACCGCATGATACATTCCCAGCAGAACTATGTGATAATCTGTCCTTCTCACCTCTTTGAGCTCAGGTGAGTCTTTGTTCTACTGTGTACTAAGACCACTGTCCACCTCCTGCTGGACCATCGATTTAAACTTACAGGCCTGAATCCTATCAGTTTTGTTTATAAAAACACACTTCTCTCTGAACTATAACAATCTCATATATGCCCACAGACCACTTTATTAGATACACCTGGACAATTTAATTTGGTCCAATACAACAGATCAGTTTAGTGTTACTTTAGTTTTGTACATTTGTCTAGGATGTGTATCAAAACAATCTTGTATAAAGAACCACATTTATATGTCACATCTCCAGCCACAGTCAGAAACAGGACAAAATACAGAAAATAAAGTGTCCCATAGAATAAAGGTTTGGTATCGAATGTTGACACGACTGGTTTGTTAAAAGGATGCAGTTGGTGATTTTGAATGGTTTTATTTCCCATAAATCCAGAGACCACCAGCACCAGTGAATGTGGTGTCCTCACTGTGATGTGTGTGAGTCCACCAGCTATGAACCCCTCCTCCCCCCCGAGGCTGAGAATGGCATCACTGTTCACAGAGCCACTGGTCTCCACCTGGCAGCTACTTTAGGTTTTCTTCTGGTTCTCAAAGAACTCTTCCAGAATGTTCTCCACTTTGTCCTCGCTGTAATCTCTCACCAGAAACCGGTTGCCATCATCAGCTCCTCTAATCATGGCGGACAGAGCTGCACAGAGACAGGAAGTTAATGCCCAGCACCCTCCATCTACAGGTTACACCTGTAAACCTTCAGGTCTGTAAGCCAACGGGACAAGTTACCCAGATGAAGGTGTGTCACTTTTTCTGTCACTAAACTATAAAATCAAATAGATGCAGTAACTTTCTCTCATTTTATTTAACATAAGCAATTATAGTTGAGTGGCAACCTCAGAGGCTGAGAAATGAAGCTGCTGCATAAATTTTGAAACCTGCAGTTCCTCGAAAGGCCACTAGAGGCCAGCTCCAAGAGACGGTCAATCCTCAGACTCCGAAGTTAAAATTCCCAAATTTACAGCAGAAATAAACATGCTTACAGCCTAGTATAAACAGTTTTGGTCTCTATAGCTAATCTCCCCTCTCATGACAACTGTATACTCAACTCTCAACTCAACTTTATTTATATAGCGCTTTACCACAGCACAGCTGACCAAAGCACTTAACATATTATACAAATATAAAAACAACACATAAAAAGCTATAGACAGTAATATAAACACTAACACTACGGACAGAGTGTCATTCCTGGTCAAACGCCAATGAATAGAAGTAGGTCTTCAAATAAGACTTAAAAGTGGACAGTGAGGGGGCCTGCCTAATATAAAGCGGCAAGGCATTCCATAGGTTTGGACCTA